GTGCAAAAAAATAAGCAGTAAAATATTTAGTTGGCAACGTTAATAACTTTCATAGCTATCTGTAACAGAATTGGAAGGGTTTTTTCTGTTGATTAAGCTGATTTTCCTACGCTATTTATTTTCCAGTAATAATGGTGTACAGGTACAAATTAGGGTGTATTTGTATACCCTTATGAAAGCTATGAGAATTGCATAAGTTGGGTTAATTTTGCCATCATGGATCCCTGTGAGAAGATAATTATGTTTTCTTTATAAAATGTAGCCTATAACAAACAATGACCTTTTTTTTCTTTCTAAGTTGGTTCATGATAATGGTTGCATGTTTTTCTTCAGCCTGCAGAATTAATCTGTTCTGTTTTGTTTTGTGTGCAATGTTTGAATCTGAACTCATGAATCTGCTTTTATGTTTGTGTCACTCTTTGTATTACTGAGACTAATAAAACTTTATGAGTCCAGTGAATCTGTTTTTATGAATTATGGACCCTCGAAAGTATTAATGCAGGACCTGTCCTTGGTGAATCTCTTTGATAACATGCTACTGGTTTCCCTTAAGCTGTTTCTCTCTATTCTGGCTACAGTAGCTTATGAAGGGCTTTGTGAACAAAAATAACGAAGTGTTTCACTTTATTCCTTGTGCTGTTTCATTGTTTCAGCCAAAAGCACCAAAGGGCAAAGGTGGAGGGCAAGAGAAAAAAGTCATCCATCCTTATAGCAGAAAGGCTGCTCAGCTTACAAGGAAGGCCCACAAACAGGAGAAAAAAGAAAAGTGAGTTGATTTCTAATTCTCTTTTACAACACAAGTCAAAGGGAAAGTAATTGCTTGCCAGGATTTAAAAAAAATATTCTGAATCTGAATTTCGGGATAATACAGAACACTAGATTTAGAAACTTTTTGGTAACTTTACATAATATGCTTTCAAAAAGAAGGCTATTTACACTGAATACCTTAATTAAAAAAAAAAGAAAAACAAAACCATTTACAAAATAACCTGTCTTGGATTACTGGAATAATTTAAAATTAAACTAGCCTGGGAGTTTAATGAATCAATTTACAACATGAAACCTACTGTAAAACATCCAGTTCTGGGAGATCATTTTTGGTATTTTACTGGTAACATCAGTCTTTTTGCCATGATGCGTTTTAAAAAAAATCTAAATGACACACAGCTACCAATTTTACCTGGTTAGGATCTATTGTAGGATGGTGTTAACAGTGGGTTTGGTTTGCGTCCAGTTTCTTTTGCATAAGTGTTCAGATAACAAAAGACAGCAAGAAAGCTGACACATTTGTTGGTCTTACCAAAGAAGGGAAGATGGGGTGCCTGGAAACATTTACGTCAGGGTAATTTGCTATTAGTTGTGAACACTGGTAGAAAATATACCAGGATCTGGAATGGAGAGAGGAGAAGCTACTCACAGTAGATGCCTTAGCTTCTGCCCCAACACATAGAATATTATAAGATAGCTATGAACGCATGATACTTACCCCCATACAGTTTTTTTCCATGGGTTATTCACATGAATTCAGCATAGTTACTTTGATATAAAGCCTATTCATCACGTGTCTCGCTTTTTTTAAGAGTGTGGTACAGGCTGTTTACATTAGTGTAAACATGTTAATTCCCTGTTTGATTATGTGAGATAACTGTAACAAGGAATGAAAATAAACTGTCCTGGAATGGGGCACTAAATAAAGAAAATAACTGGAGTAGGAATGGCTAGTATAAAATGGCATGCTGTACTTAGTATAACTTGGCTATACCTCTTGGGTATAACTTTGGTATAACCCTTCTGTTGTGCAGATTTCATTTATGAAGTTATCTGACTTAAGTTTTAGTGCAGCCATACTCTCTGCAAAGTTAGGGTTATATAGGAGAATTAAGGGCATTGGTAGAGTCTTGAGTATAAATTTCCTCACTTTCAGTGTTTTTTATTTTAAATTCCCACTCCCCTGAGTCCTCCAGCATCCCACAGTGCTCTGCTGTCCATCCTCTTTCTGCCTCCATGTGTATGGGAGGAGTGGAGCAGTGTCAGTCAGTTCTCTCCTGTGCACTGTTTGCAGAGTGCTGTAGTAGGGAGAGTACTCTGCAGAGCCACACTGACAGTCCATAGATAGTTTTGTGTGGCCCTGAATGGGTGTTTTAATAAAACACCCATTTAATTGAATATCACTTTGTTAAAAATAACTTCTTGAGGCTTATGTAATTGAGCCTCTTGGAATTGTGCTGCTGCTTTCTACCTAAGATTGTGCTGCCTTCTATCTAAGGTTTTGGTTTTTTGGCAGATGCTTTGTTTCTTTCTTGTGGCAATCAGCACTCCTCAGCCTAGTACTTTTGGTTGTCTTTCCTCTGACAGTGAATGCCTTAAGCCTGCGCACAATGTTTACAAAGAATAGATGTAAAATGAGAAGTGGCTGGGAACCCTGAGGACTGAAGCACATAGTTTTTATAGGCAAAACATATATTTCAAAGCAGTGGAGTACTTTGATAGATGTCTTCTTATTTACGGTTTGCATAAAAAAGCCTAAAAATATGACCTCAGGCATGAAGAAAGGCTGGAAGGGACCTCTATGTAAAGATGGTATGGAGTATATAGTGCAGTGATTCTCAACCTTTTTAGATGCAAGGCACCTCTTGGTAGACACAGGGCATCCTTTGAAAAATGATAGGTTGGTTTTTACTTGTTTGACTACAGGACGATTCTCTTGTTGCAAAGAACTCAGGCACAAATCAAAATGTTTTTAACACTATGGATTCCAGTTTAAAATTTCTGGATTTATCTTGTGAATTTTGTTTGCTAATTTGACAGTGCTAACATTGCTTGGCACCATGTGGCACTCTGGTTGAGAATCTTTGGCCATCATCCTCATCAGCAATCCCTTGCAGTTAAGGATGATTGTCTTCCATGATTGAGTTATCTGTGGGTCCAAAGATATCAAGGTCAATCCGGGTAACCTTGATATAGAGGCACTGAAATCATACTGGGCTGTAATCCCATTAGCCTGCTTTGCAAAACATAAGTTAGTATGCAGCAGAGAAAGTGATGAACAAGAGAAGTAAAAATGCTGTAAAATAACAGAGTAAACTAGAAGTAATACTCTAGATCAGTGATTCTCAACATTTTTAGATTTGAGGCACCCCTTGTTTGACTTGACACCCCACATGGAAAATGTTATCTCTTACAGTTCACTCATTTTTAACTACAGAAATATAATAGAGTAGTTTTTCTGTTGCAAAGAACTCATGTCACAACAGGACAGAATGTTTTTAACGCTATGTTTTAAATCTCTGGTTTTATTTTGTGAATCATGTTTGTACACCCAACAGTGCTAATGTTGCTTAGTACCCCAGAACACTCTTGAAAGGATCCCAGAGCATGCCAGAGTAGCATTATACCCTGGTTGAGAATCACTGCTTTCGTATCTGAGTACGCAGTCCAAACTGAACTGTTTCTTATGGATCAGTATCTTTATGGCAAGGCTATCCTAGCCCTTTTCAAGGTGTTCATTCAAAGACATTCTAGGCAAATTGTCTGGAGAGAGACCCGTATTTTGGTATGAGAGCACCTTCTTTTGGTTTAATTATATCACTTGGGACTGGTTTTAATGTAAACTAAAAAACCCTCACTGATACAGGAGTAGGTGCTTCACTGAAGACAGCTTACTTTATATACATGGTAAAACATTTCTTTGTAGACAGTCTTAAGGCTCCTGTAAACATTGCATTTTTCTGCTGAATCCCATTTAAGAAAAAGTGTCACGCACATCAAGAGTTCAGGGACTGTTCCTAGCTTTTGCAAGCCAGTCATCTATCTGCTTGACACCTTTAGTAATGCAGTAATAAGATCATTCTCTGAAGTCATGGCCAGGATTACCCTCCACAGCTAGCAGAGGAAGATAGGAGATAACTGACACAAACCAAATAACAGGACTTGCCAGGGCTTGTTGCTAAGGCAATAAAACCTTGGTAAGCAGTACTGCATAGATGACATAATCATAGTTCATAAAATTCTCTGTCTAAATGGATCAGCTAATGTTGATCCCTTACAATGTGGGTGCATATTCTCTTGGACAAGAATCATACTTTGAACCTAAGTATTATAATATAACTTGGATGCCTTGGAATTCTTTACCTGTATCTGTAATGATTATTGACCCTTCCGTTGTAGCAAATCTTCTAGGATGAGAGAGAAAATGAGACTCATGCTGGGAACCCGGGGCCATTTAAGGAATGCAGAACTATCTGATATAGCCTCCTCGATATTTAACATGTTACCAGAGTCCAAGATGCTCCAGCAGCAACTGTCACAAAGAAGTTGTATGCAATTTAGATCTCTTAAGACCTGTATTTTATCAGCCCTCTGGTCAAAAATTTGAATCATGATTGGACTTTGAGTCAGAGGATCATGGCTGTCCATTACTGACAAAAGCAGGACTCTGTGACTTCAATCTTATCTTTGTTTACTGTAGTTTTGTTTGTAAATAGTTCATTTTTTGTCAGCTGTAACTACCATACTTAATTTTGGGTTAGTAGACATAAGAAACAACTACACTCTTAGCAAAATTTAACATTTTGTATGCAAAGGCATCAGTGCTGCCCTGGAACAAAACCAGGTTATTGCTTGCAATTTGTACTTAGTTTGTGAGTTTGCTGCACAGGGGCTCACATTTTCAGTGCTTCTACCTTAATCAATTAGGCTTACAGTTGTATGTATACTTGCTGCCATTCCATTATTTATTCTTTCCCACTGTGCCTATATGCACATTTATAGCTCTCAGGTAGTCATTGGCTGAAACAATATTCCTTAAAATACACTCTGTTGAAAGTGTACAACTATGATTTATCTGGATTCATGGTGGCTCTTACAGAAGTTGCAGCTTGTTTATTGACAAATAATATACGAATGAAAAGCCTATCTCTGGAGGAACTTGATTTTTTTTTTCTTTCCTTGCAGTATCTAGCATATATCCTTGTGTCAATTTGTAATGGAGATAGGGAAAATGTAATGATCTTGTCTTCCAGTACGGTGCAAGATTGTTTGTTTACTGTGCTTTTACCAGATTTAGATTCATAGGATCATTAGAAGGTAGAGCTGGAAGGGATCTCCAGCTGTCATCTAATCCAGTCCCGTGCTCAAGGCAAGATCATTCCTGACTAAACCATTCCGACCAAGTGTCTGTCTTACCTGCTCTTGGAAAAAAAAATTCCAAGGATAGAGATTCCATAAGTTTTCTTGGTAGCCTAACACTAACCACTCTTAATAGTTAGAAAATTCTTCCAAGTTTTCAACCAAAGTTTCCCATTGATGCAGCTTGAAGCCAATGCTTCTAGTCTTATCCTGTGTGGCTACAGACTAAAGGCCATCTCCCTCTCTATAATCGCCCTTCAGGTATTTGACGACTGTTATCAACTCCCTCCTCAGTCTTCTCTTCTCCAGACTAAATAACGTTAGCTCTTCCAGGCTTTCCTCATAAGTCATGCTTTCCAGACCCCTAATACTTGTCTACATCTTTCTTGAAGTATAGGGCTCAAACTGGACGAAGTACTCGGGTGGGGCCTCACCAGTACTGAACAAAGCATAAAAATCATTTTCCTTGATTTGCAAGTAAATCTCTTGTTAATACAGCCCACTACTTAGTTGCCTTTTTTTTTTTTTTTTTTGTGCAACAAGAGCATACTCTTGGTTCATATTCAGCTTATGGTCTTCTGTAACCCCCAGGTCCTTCTTTGTAGTACCATAGCCTGATCAATCATTTCCCAGTTTGTG